AGTGTCAAAACGTTGGTTATCGTATGAACGGATCCGTTCACGGGCTGAAGTAAAATATTTACGGATGAAAAGTGGCGCGAGAACGCTATGACCAATCAGAGCATCGTCGGACCATCGTATCAACGTATAACGGATAGTTCGTTTTACGTTCAGCGGAGTTCAAAGATGGTCAATGTTTATGTCGGCAGTTGCGGGCAGTTGGCGACCGCTGGCGACGTTCGGCGACAGCCAATGAAAAAGCGCCTGTCGATCACGTGAAGCACAGTACGCCGATGCATTGGAAAATGACCCTTATTGTTGTTTCATTATTTCTGTTAATGTGATGTTTATATTTTTGCGTAATCATAATGGATTACTGTGTTTGAACTTCCGTAAATACCAGAAGTATTTTTAAATCGAAAGAAAAACGTTCGAAATTTTACAATTTCAAATTAACCTAGAACCGAAACTGACAGTTTATTAATGCAAAAATATTGAACCTCAGGATATATCGAACATCCAACTGCAACTGAACCTCAACTGAACGCCAACTTCCGAGTTTATAAAAGTGTTTTTTATACGTTGATACGATGGTTGGACGGTGCTCAGATCAGCCTTAGAGATACATTTGACACTTTATATGATAGCAATTTTTGTGTAATACTGTATTACGTGTCAAAATGGGACGTAAAACATTGTATACCAGATGTGTAGTGTATTGTTAAAGCCAACAAAATATACACAAAATGCATCCGTAAAGCTTGATTTTCATGCATCCGTTGTCCGACGATACGTTGATACGATATTAATTTTATTGGTAGAATTTAAAGAATTAAAGACCCGTTCATACGATAACGGACGTTTTTCTACTAGTAAAATTAATATCGTATCAACGTATCGTCGGACAACGGACGCATGAAAATCAAGCTTTATTCCTTTTTTGATACGTTTTCTTGATAGGTAATTGTCGAACCACTAATAACTCAACTTTTTTCTCATTTAACCAAATTCGTATCTCTCGCAGTTTCCGACTTACCAATGTTGATCATCGAAATTGTCATCACCCTGTATTATACTGAACTAGTTATTTTGGATATTACATTATCTATATTCTTAAATAGAAAATACACGATGAAACTGATCAATCGATATACAATCAATAGTATCATCGAGAAAAAACGGCGTCCAGTTGGCTTGGAAATGACGATCGATGACATTCCCCATATAATTTTACATAAAATGACAGCGATCTTCATTTCATAGCTATCGCTGATGCTGTTTTTTTCGATCATATTGTATAGTAACTCTGTTGTCTTGCTGCTTCTGTTGTGACATATTCTTAAATTGAAAACGGATTCTGGACTTTTCCATTTAAGACAGGACCCCATTAGGCAACACGCCACACCATGCCACGGCACGCTATCCCACGTGAGCCCACGTGTTGCGACGCGGGAAAGAGTGTACACATGAGATCTGGGTCTGACGAATCGCCGTCACACGTGTGATAGCGTGGGATTGCGCGACGTGGGGTGGCGTGTTTCCTAGTTTGTACGCAATACATGTAACTATATGGAAAAACATATATGCACAGATCTTTATGACGTGGGGTGGCGTGGCGTGTTGGCTAATGGGGTCCCGGCATTACTTTATTTTTTATGTGTAGTAAACTATTTATTATCATTTTCAATATACATAAAAATGTCCATACAATGTCCATACAAATGTACATACATAAAAAATAAAATAAAAGCAGTATCCAAATTCCAAAGTAAATCTTTTATTGGTAAATCATCATTTCCAACTACTTTTAAATTTCCAAATTCGTTTTATAGGTTAGTTAAGGTATATGAAAATTATTAAAAGACAGTCGTGAAGTAGATTAAATTTCTAATTTTGATATATATTTTTTTTTATTAAAGGTAGAAGAAATATTCTTGAAAAGCTCTTTAAAAACATAGTATTTTTCTATTAGCACGTGTAATATATAAATAACAAATATAAATATGCTGAAAACAACCATTTTATAGCTAAGTAATGTTATACGGTCTAATCACAATGCTGCTAAAATGATAACAATCTATTTTTACGTAGAGTCCTTATCTAACACATCAATAAGAAGCACTTATTAATCTTTTGAAAGTACGTTAAACGGGTTAACCTAGCGTTAACCCTATAGTCTAAACTTATTTTACAAAACGATTTGGCCATAACGTTAAATACAATAAGTATACGAAATCAAGTATTTGTCAAAACACTATAGAACTTTAAATATTAAAAATCAAGTAGGTATCAAAAATTAATCGGTATTGTACCTGATATACACTGACGCGCACGAAATACAAACGCCTTACAATTTTCATGTATTTTAAAGTTCAATAGATTTTTTTTTGAGGATTTTAAAGCGATTTGTAGCTAAATTATTTTACTTTATAGCCTCTCTTTTTAAATTCAAAATTAAATTACCCATCTGTCTATCAGCTTAAAATCAGCCCACTAAAACAAAATATATTGAGCTTTAAAATACATGAAAATTTTAAGATGTTCTTTTTTTTGTGCCGTTCAGTGTGTATGAAATACATCATAATATAGTTCAAATGATACTTAATTATAGATGAAAAAATTACAATTATTTGAACATATACATTCTTCAACATTATAAAACATAGTATAATGAATGCCAAATCATTTTATGTCATGCTATATTATCTAAATCTATGCAGCCTCTAACTTGTTAATTTTAAATTTATTCTAAATCTATATTTTACTTTTAAAAGTCACTTGTAAGTTAAAATATTTTCAATTTAATAAGGTATTGTTGCCAGGAGCAGTGTGTTGTCGCTTTTACTATGTGTGAAAACATTATTTGTGTGACTTGATAATTTTGACGATAATTTGTGTTACCTGTACTTAATGACAGTTTATTTAAAAAACAATTATTGGAAGACAAGATCTAAAAGAGTATTTATATATGTATATATTTATATACGTGTTTTAACTTGATCAATTCTAACAATATGTGACACAATTTAAAGTCATATATTATCAATTTTTGTAGAAGTAATTAAATTTTTGTGAAAATAGATATCAGATTGTAATTTTCCTATGACTAATTTCACGTTAAAGTTTAACAAAGACAATTAATTTTGATTTTTTGAAATGACCAGACTTACTAAATGTATTATGTCCATTTTCTAAGATTTTCAACCAAAAGTGGCATTGCAAACTACATACACAGAGTTATAATATGATGTCAGAAAGACGTTCTAAATTCATTTTGTCTCCTTTGAATTAAATGGCGAAACTACCTTAGACTTTCTATGAACTGTATGCCCATTGGCGGTAGACAAACAAACAGAAGTATGTCGTTTTGTGCGGTGGACATACTGCTGTTTGTTTGTCATTGCCAGATGAAAAGTGTCTTTTTTTATTACAACTTCTCTATTTTTAGAATAATGCTACTTAAAATAATGAATGAAACTACGACTGGGGATCATATAGTTGGGGATACGGAGCGTGGTAGCAGAAAAATAAAGAGAAATTTCACGTTTTTTCAACACTCAACAGTTTTTTCAATTTTTTCAAATATCAAAACTAGATTTTTCACATATAGGTGTACTTTTTTTTATGATTTCTTATCCATTTTTTAAGTATACTAGTTTTTCGGTAAGTTTTTTTGCAAAAAGCGTAGCAGTTTTTCTTTGGTGGACAAAATTATTAACTTTATATTAACCAATTACAGACATCGAGTCCATGTTGGCTTCCTCGGATAGCCCGAGTATACTTAATTTGTAAGTAATTTGAGCAGACCAAATATTTAGTACTATTTCAAATAAGATTGGAAAGTCTGAACTTGTTGTGCCACCACCAGAAAATTGTGTTCTGTGTGTGCAATCTGTGTTTGCACCAGAAAACTGTTAGTTTGCGCAAGTCTAGACCTGCACTTATACTAGAATGTGTGTGGCTGGCTTTAAGATCGTGGTATTTGAAACATAAATGCTGGCATTCGTTTACTTTGATTCATATTCTTACGATTATAATTAATGTGTTAAGCTTCATTTAGAACCTCGCAATTAGTGTAATGAATTAGTGGTTGCAATTACACTTTATACATTTCAGTTTTCGGTCATTCAAAATGTCTAAAAAACAGAATTAAAATTAATAGAATATCCTGGCAACAGTTTGCGGTAGTCAGTTGTATCCATAGAGAAAGCCTAATATTTAGGTTATAAACAACAAACCTTTGATTTTTAACCGCAATTTCTCTTGACGGATGATAATCAAATGTCAAATTGACATTCCTCGCAAATTTTGAAGTAGAATTAGTGGAAAAGTTAAAAGTTTGTTAACTTTTTCCACTAATTGAAGATTACGACCACTAATTTTGACGTTGTGAATACTTACATTGATATTAGAGGAACAAACTTCTGCGCTAATTGAAACCACTAATTTTTCATTCCTATATTCTAACCTAACCTAACCATTCAGAACCTCGCATTCATTCAATTAACCCAGGAACCAGGGAACAAACTTCTACGCTAATTGAAACCACTAATTGCGAGGTTCTAAATGAAGCTTAAAGCTCATTCAGAACTTCGCCTTCATAATAAAGCTTTAAGCTTCTTTCAGAACCTGGCAATTAGTGGTATAAATTAGTGGTTTCAATTAGCGTAGAAGTTTGTTCCTTTAATTTCAATGTAAGCATTTAGAACGTCAAAATTAGTAGCATTCAGAACATCGAAATTAGTGGTAGACATTTTCAATTAGTAGAAAAAGTTGTCAAACTTTTAACTTTTCCACTAATTATACTTCGAAATTTGTGAGAAATGTCATTTTGGCCCTGATTATCTTCCTTCAAGAGAAATTGAGGTTAGAAATCAAAAGTTTTATAAGCTAAATATTAGCCTTTCTCTATGGATACAACTGACTACCGCAAGCTGTTTTAGGATATTCTATTAAATTTAATTGTGTTTTTTAAACATTGTGAATGATCGTAAACTAAAAAGCATAAAGTGTAATTGAAACCACTAATTGCGAGGTTCTGAATAAGCTTTAGTAAGAATCGCCATTAATAATAGGATCTTGTAAAAAACTTTGTTATTATTCTTTGTTAGAACAAACGAAATTAGCCATAATAAAAGAAGTAAAACTACTTTAATTTAAACCATATCTAACATTTTACGAGTTAAAAGCACCCACTCCTCCAGACAACAATACAATAACGACGTTACACAGATATATTGCTAAAATATATAGCGTTGACTAGAAACCGGTATTCCCCGTGTCATCCGTGTACCTGTGCGCATCTCGAGAGGCAACCGGAAAACCTAGTAGAATCTCCAGTAAGCCCCGGTAGGTGGTTGTTCTGTGTCGGCGGTCCGAGGCTAAGCCCGGTAGATGAAGGAGGCGGTGTGCGGTGGCGTGGGGCTGGGCGACGAGGAGGGCGGAGAGGGACTGCTGGACGAGCCGCCGCTGGTGGGCAGCGCGCTGTGGCCTTGGCGGTGGGCTTGGTTGCGCCGCGCTCCAGCGCCCTCCTCGCTGTTTTCTCAGAGGTACACCTTCTTGACGCTGCGCGTGGTGGCGAAACCGTCGCCGCCCCGCCGGAAGTTGTCGCCCTGCAACAACTGGACAGTAGTAAGGTATGGTTGAGGGGCGGTATTACTTTAGTTATATGTAGTATATCTGACAAACGGATGTGAAACAGTAGGAGGAATACGGACAAAAAAATTGGTCTTGTCAAGTTTAAACATAACAAATCAAGATTGTTCGATATTACTTAAAAATTAAATTATTAGTTAGTTCATTCCAGCATACATAATAATTATACAGGGTGTTTCAAAAAATATGTGCCATCTCTCGTGGGAAGATTCCTCACTTAAAAATAAGATTTATTTTTCATATCAACATAGGTCCGATTCTGCTTTGTTTCGTAACTATATAGGGTGTTAAGGTCTTAATATTTTTTCGATTTATTATCATTTTTTTCCAAGTACTTTTAGTGATTCGAATGAAATTTTAAGGGTAAAAGTTACTGTAAGTGCTACATATTTTAATGCTAAAAAGTCTCGACATATTCTCCAGGGACGTGCATACGGGTTATCACTGGAATATTTTTCTAAAAAAAACATGTACGCCACTGACTTTTTTTTCTCTTGTTAGCAAAATAGTATAAGCAGTTTAATGCCGATTGAAAATTGTCTCTTAATATTTTGTCCATTTCGGCCTCCTTGATGAGATAAACGCAGTTTTATTAATTTGCCTTGATCCAAGTCTAATAGCAACTTTTAAAAAAATTTAATATCATTAACTTGCGAAAATTTTTGAATAATTCCTCATCAGAAAATATGAAAAAAAGTTCCTATAAATATGGGTATGGAAATGCATAGTTTTAGAGTTACAGGATGTTAAAACTTTTTAAAATTAGGTTTTTGTAATTATCTTAAATAGGTACCATTATTTTTTTTATTTGAAATTGCTGTAGGTTTGACTAATATTAATAATAACTAATAGCAATAATATTTAACAATAAATTAGGTAAAATATATAATTTATTAATTTTATTTTAATTTTAATTTTATTAATTGTGATTAATAAAATGGCGTTTATCTCATCAAGGAGGTCATTCGACAAAATAACAAGAGATAACTTTTAATTAGCATTAAACGGCTTAGACAATTTTGATATCAAAAGAAAAAAGTCAGTGGCGCACATGTTTCTTTTTTGAAAAATATTCCAGTGATAACCCATATGCACGTCCCTGATAAATTATCGACACTTTTTTAGCATTAAAATATAAAGCACTTATAGTAACTTTTATCCCCAAAATTTCATTCGAATCACTAAAAGTACTTGAAAGAAAATTATAAAATATCGAAAGATTATTAAAACTTTAACACCCTGTAGCTACGCTATTTGGTATGTTAGTATAAGGTATAAATTAGGATTGATTGACGTATTCAATTGTTTTTGGTCACTTCCTGTTTCACCGGAAATGACTTCAACTTTTGATTTTTAAATGGCACCCTCGGTATTTTGTTACGAACCGCAAGTTACAATTTCAAATAAACCATATGCGAAAATATCAAGAGTTGACATATGATATGTCATTCTATTCAGAATGTTATTTTCTATCGAATTAAGTAAAAAATACCGAGGATGCCATTTAAAAATGAAAAGTTGTAGTAATTTCCGGTGAAACAGAAAGCGGCCGAAAATAATTGAATACGTCAATTAATCCTAATTTATGTCATATACTAACATACCAAATCTCGTTTTTTTAACTGAAAAAATAAAAAAGTTATAGAGGTGAGCCACTTTTGAGACGCACCCGATATAAAATCACTATAAACATTATAAAAGGTAAATATTTTCTAAAAATGTTATCCGTTTTGAGAAAGCCGGCAACACCGAGAAAATATACAATCTGATTGGTGAAGACTCTCGGACATATTGTTCCCAGGCGGTAGTCATGCGCATAGCCCTTTGCTATTGGCCATGATTACCCACAATTTTATGCTCCACCCCAAAAGTAGTAAATATATTGAAACACCTTATCGATGCTTCGTAGTTTCAAATCCGTTTGTCAAATTGTAGACCTAATTTAGATTGATATTTTTTCTAATACTGCCATGCCAGTAGTGACTCTTTAATTGGTTATGAGAATTCTAGTAACGTACATGTAATAGATAGAAAAATCTACTGTAAGAGTAGTATCAAATAATAAAATAAAAAATACAGAAACAATTCTAGAAACAGAAGAATAAGAATGTATAAATCTTATAGTAGAGTATCTGAAAGTATAAATATTAATATTACCTTGACTTATGGGTACCTATAGTCCCATTGCTGTTAAAAAATAAAAAAAGGTATAATTTCTAAAACTATAATAAAATAAAATAAATCCGCAAAATTAAATTTTGGTAAAAATAGATATCTATCAATTAGATTTGAATAACTGGAACAATGGTTTTATTAAATTCAGAAAAATATATGGGTGTAAAAATACAAAAGTAAAAAGACTAAATATTGAAATATTGCTGATAGATAAAACCATATAAATCATTAATGAAAAGTATAAATTCATTATTTATTGTTTCCTTATTTACATACTCAACTTTCTTTTCAAGATTCATAATGAATGAGAGAAAATATATAATATAAATAACAGCAATAGTAGTAGGTACCATATGGTCGAAAAAACGGCGTTCGGTTGGCTTGGAAATGAACATCGATGACATTCCCCGTATAATTTTACATATAAAATTACAGCGATTTTCATTTCATAGACATCGCTGACGCCGTTTTTTTTTCGATCATACGGTATCAGTAAAAGATAAAGAAAATAAGTACGATATACCTCTTAGCTTGTAATCAGTTTGGTACTTTATACCTGGTGCGTCTCAAAAGTGGTTCAACCCTATAACTTTTTTATTTTATTAGATAAAAAAAAGAGATTTGGTATGTTAGTACATGACATAAATTAGGATTGATTGACGTATTCAAATGTTTTCTGTCACTTCCTGTTTCTTCCTGTTTTTCTACCACACACTTGGTATTTCGAGTCAAATTGTCGTTATGAATCGCATGTTGCAATTTCAAATAAACCATATTCGAAAATGTCAAAAGTTGACATATGATATGTCATTCTATTCAGAGTGTCATTTTCTATCGAATAAAGCAACAAAACACCGATAGTACCATTTAAAAATCAAAAGTTCTTGTCATTTCCGGTGAAACAGGAAGTGACAGAAAACAATTGAATACGTCAATCAATCCTAATTTATGTCATGTACTAACATACCAAATCTCGATTTTTTATCTAAAAAAATAAAAAAGTTATAGAAGTGAGCCACTTTTGAGACGCATCCGGTATACATAGAACCATTATTCATAGTTCCATTTTGCAATATATTAATATTAAATAAATTCAAATAATTAAAATCGTTAATAGTTTATGACGGAGTCGTATCAAATGGATATACTCTCCTGGCAAGGCTTGGGTCGCGATTTCCGTATGTAAGAAGAGTATAATGTATTGAATAGAGCCGTTGCCAAACGTATCAAATAAAACAAGGAACTTTGTACATTACCAAGAAACGTGGAAGGGGATATGGCAGCTTCGTTGCGGTCGTACCGCATAAAAATCATTATATTTAAATCTAGTACTTCAAAGTAAAAAAAGAAAGTTACAGTATCTAAAGTGGTTCTTGAGTTATCGCGTTAATGTCAAACGGATTTGAAAATAAAAAGTGCCTTTTAGCCTATTGAAGTACGTTAAATTCCAAATATGGTGCACCAGAAATCTCAAAAAAGAATTTTTTTGAGTTGTGCTCGTATTGCATAAGACCATCCGTGTATTGTAGTAGCAGGCATTTCATTCTTTATTAAATATCCATTTGCTACAAAAACCGTTATTACGATAAAATTTTTATAAACTAAACAAATTAGTAAATCTACCGGAACTAGCTAAAGTTCTCTTTTATCCCAATTAACATACCTGATGCGACCTTAGAGTGCCAAAGTTATCTCGTCCTCTATAGTTGTCTCTGCCATTGTAGCCTCCATCAGTTTGAAATTGAAACAACGTTTCTGCATTATTTTGATGTGGACCTTTCCGGAGAGTGCTTTTAGGAGAGTAACTTTTCGGAGGAGGTTGAGGAACTAATACTGGCTCCGCGTAGGTCACTTCCTCTTGCGGAAGTAACTTTGGTTCAGCAGTAATTCGACTGGAAATAGAAGATTTTTGTATGATTATTACTGTTAGTATTTTTATACTTATGGTGTATATACTCTGTTTTTTTTCTCAGGTAAGATTTCGACAGACGATGACAGAAGAAAAGCAGATGACGTCCCATACCAATCTATTTATTTTACTAAAAAACGTTTTTAATATTTTTTTAAGTTAACTATGGATGGGTTTAAATATAAATCCGTCATGCGTCGTCTCTTGTTGGTTTTAACCAGTTTTATTGGTTTATTTCAAAAATGACGGTTTGACGGGACGATGAACGACAAACGGACGCCGATGCGTATGAACTCGCCTTTAGATTTTTGAGGCTTGTCAAATTCTTGCCAAATTATAGGTTATAATTTTGTGTCAACTCTTTGAATAAGAAGACTAAGGAAGGAGCATAATGCTATCCATGTATTCATGCATGGTGGGCGGAAAAGCCACCATAAAAGCTCTCTAGGGTGGGGATCCTTGACAGTTCTGTTTGACGATTCATTTGACACATTTGAATTTGATTTGAAATTTTGTGGATTTGTCAGTCTTTACGGAGCTTATTTTATGTTATTTATTATTCATTCTTACTACTGAACTAAATTATACTTTTTCTTGCATTTTAGCTTTTATTTATTACTTGTCAAAGATTAAATGTCAAAGAATTTAGATACGTTAATTTGACTTACCTGCTTCAGTAGCGTATCGGATGTTTGTGTTAATAAATACTTATTATAACTTATCTATTTTTATTAGAATTATATATTTTTATAACAATTTTAATAACTACCAACATTTATTCACAACGTAAAATAAAACAACAAATTATTGAGTCTACCCCACGTCTACCCTACATCATAGTTTTACATTTTTTAAATAAAATTAGAACGACACTGATAAACCGGAATTTAAGTCGGCCATATTTGAGGCCCATCGCGGTGTACCTAAGATTTTTGATATGCTCCTTCCTTAGTCTTCTTATTCAAAGTGTCAACTTATATCAAATATCTGCGTTTTGGAAGATGATGCATTTTGATTCGTGTTATTACGTGTGGTTTGTGTCTTTTGTAGTCAAGTGGTGGAAAAATCGAGGGAAAATTAACTGTAGACCCAAAGCACAGTTTATAGTTAACGCTCGCTGCCCAGGCAGAAACTCTTATACATCAATAAAATTACCATCAATAAAGTTTGTATACCATCTCGTCGTAGATAAGTGCATCTCGTATTATGTTACAAGGATCGTACTAAACATATACTGGAGTTTGGAGTATCTGTAAAATATCGACATCACACGATAGGTAAATAATGGATTTTAGTACTGGTTCAAAAACATTAAGATTAAAGCTAATTAATCAACCTTTAAGGTATAAAATTTGGTAAATGTTATTATTAATGAAATAGTTTGTTTTATTTATATTGTTTTATTTATTCCTGTGGAATATTACAAATTTGTATTTGTACATAAGTTATATTGATAAATAATAAACGCAGGAACTTTCTTGAAGCTTTCTTGTAAGAAATAGTTCTTTTTTATATTTTTTTGGTCTCTGGTGTTTTGTTCTTGTTTGTTTTGTATTAACAAATACCAGTTTTTTTTAATTAAAATAACTCGATTACATTTTTTTAGTTTTATGCAGTTTTTTTTCACAATATTGTGAAGTAATCTCACTTATCAGTCAAATTTTAAATATATTAATTTCCTGCTATGCGTTCCAGTTGTACCAACTTATTTCTTTGTAAAATAAAATAAACTACTTTGAAATTAAAATGACAGACATATCTATCACTGTCAAGGATCTTGTCGTTGGACAGACTATACCACATGATTAAATGATACAGTTTGTCCAATGATCGTTCAACGTTATGTCATCATTCTGTATCAGATATATGTTTTTAGAATGTGTCTGGGGATAATTCATTTGTACGTTCTGAAATTATTAAATGGACGTGTTCTGTTTATAAATATCAAGTAGGTATGATGATAGGCTTTTATTCATTTTGATTATTCATTAAATTTACCTATTTCTAAAATAAACTTATGAAAAGAATTGGGGTTCTTCACTATTCTGTGATATATGTATGCCTTTTGAGACTGTATAAGTTCAAGATGTTCAAAAAAATTAAAGCACTGAATTCAAGTTCAATGTTGTAAAATTGCCGTAAGGCTCTTTTCGGTGAGTGAATACTTGTATACATGTGACTGGCTATACTCTGTTTTTTTTCTCCGGTAAGATTTCGACAGACGATGACAGAAAAAAAGCAGATGACTTCCATACCAATCCATTTATTTCACTAAAAAAAGTTTCTAATATTTTTTAAGTTAACTATGGATGGGTTTATAAATAAATATGTCATGCGTCGTCTCTTGTTGTTTTTAACCAGTTTTATTGGTTTATTTCAAAAACGACAGATCATATTTCAATATTATTGGTTTGACGCAACGATGAGCGACAATCGGACGCTTATGCGTATGAACTCGACTTAAGATTTTTGAGAGTTGTCAAACTCTTGCCAATTATAGGTTATAATTTTGTGACAAATTATGTCAAATAGAAATGATAAATATTTTGCATTTTGGACTGTGTTGTTACTTGTGTTTCGTGTTTTTTAAAATTAAGTGGAGGAAAACTCGAGGGAAAATTAAGTGTTGGCTCAAGGTTGACCCAAACCATAGTTTACAGTTAATATTCGGTACACAGAGATCGCCAGAGACACAGTTTGCCAGAGACTATGGCCAGAAAGTTGTATTAGCCACAAATAAAGTTGTATACCATCTCGTACTGGTACCAAAAACTGGAGTATCTGTAAAATAACATCACACGATAGGTAAATAATACATTTTAGTACTGCAGAAAAAAATAAGATTAAAGTTAATTAACCAAGATTAGATTTTTTCAGTTTCTTACAGTTTTTTTTCACAATATTTTGAAGTAATCACTTGTCACTCAAAATTTAAATATATTAATTATGCGTTCCAATTGTACCAACTTATTTCTTTGTAAAATAAAATAAACTACTTTGAAATTAAAATAACAGACACATCTATCACTGTCAAGGATTTTGTCGTTGGACAGACTATACTCAAACAAAAGCCTATAAGGAAGTCATATTTTCTCTAAAAGTTGTTATATTGATTGTTCAGCCATCGTTCAACGATACGTCATCATTATTTGTCAAATATGACTTTTAGGGTGTGTCTGAGATCAGTTCATTTTGTTTAGAAAATTTTAAGTACGTTCCTATATTATTGATTGTTGATTGAGCGAGTTCCGTTTTTTTCGGCATTTATTAATATTTTCATGAATTCTCCATCAGTTGGGATCCTTTAGTTCCAATCCTTTGGACTGTTGAAATTCCTATTTCTAAAGCATCAGCAAATCGCTATGTCATTTAAAAACGCTATCAGTTTGTATTTTACATAGGAATATTATACCTTTGCATTGGTGTACTTAAGCTTCATTCAGAACCTCCCAATTAGTGGAATAAATTAGTGGTTTCAATTAGCGCAGAAGTTTGTTCCTTTAATTTCAATGTAAGGATTCAGAACATCAAAATTAGTGGTAGACATTTTCAATTAGTAGAAAAAGTTATCAAACTTTTAACTTTTCCACTAATTTCACTTCACAATTTGCGAGAAATGTCATTTTGGCCTTTAATTATCTTCCGTCAAGAGAAATTGTGGTGAGAAATCAAAAGTTGATTATTTTATAATCTAATATTAGGCTTTCTCTATGGATACAACTGACTAACTTTTACTAGTAGAAGAATGTTGCTAGATATTCTATTAATTTTAATTGTGTTTTTTAAACATTGTCAATGTGCGTAAACTAAAAAGTATAAAGTGTAATTTAAACCACTAATTTATTCCACTAATTGCGAGGTCCTGAATGAAGCTTTAATATTAATTTCAATATAACAAAATCAAGATTTTTTTTTATATTCAATTGACAGACAATGTGATATCGCCGAACCAACATAATTTTATTGTATATGATTCTCAATTTTTTCCAATTGTGCCAGTAGCAATTATTGTCCACCATTTTAAGTTAAAAGTACACACTCTTTTGTTTTTATACTAAAATACACTGTAAACTTACCTATTCATGTTTTGTCTTTGTTCAAAATACTCATATTCAGTATCGGGATATGGCAAATTATCATCCTCGTCTTTATGGCATTTCCTACCACAAAGATACCCAGCAATAAAACCAACAACTAGAGCTGAAACTGCTCCAGCCACCACAGCCATAATTAAAGTTTCAACTGAGTACTGATTTGGAAGAGCATCTGTAGCAGTCACTGAAGGCCCTATAATTAATAATTAATATTTGAGTAACTAAAATAACTTTAAATTAACACACCATGGTAACACAAGTAAATTTGTGACATGCCATTTTAAAAATTTAGTTTTAAAATGCATGGAAACAAAAATCATAAATAATATTCATTTAAATTCATCTCGACCGAAAATAATATTAATTATCCATTCAGTTTACCTGTATTCTCGTAAGGTTTGTCTTGAATAATATTGATAATTTGTCCATCGGGAAGCTCTTTGTTTGGCATATGGTCGTTAAACTTTGGTTGATTCGAACTTAGTCCGCCCACTGAACCGGCATCCTTGCTTTTAGGAGGCGGACACGCGGAATGCTCGCCAGTGGCAACGCTTTGGAAGAAGTAACTTTCTTCGCCCCATCGACCTATTCCTTTGGAGCGGCATTTGCCTTGCACTTTATCCCATGCACAGTATGGGTCTTGAAGGGCCACGCATTCGCTAGAAAATAATACATATTGGTCAGTAGCTGTATAGGCAAAGAGGCAAAGTTGCGCAATTTGATGTTGATAAAAATGCTACCTTACAATTTTTTCAAAATCCCGAATACTTTCGAAGGTTTTTGAAAAAAAAACGAATATTCGCGATCTCATTTATACTCTTTATGGCTCTATTTGAATATACAGGGTGGTCCGAATTGTATTCCGGAAACTTCGGCAGCATATTCTGCTGATAAAAACAAGTAAAAAAGTCCGTATAAATGTAGGTCCTAAAATACTTAGTTTTGGAGATACAGGGTGTTGAAGTTTCATTTTTATTTCGATTTTTTTCAAATAATTTCTGAAGTAACGTCAATATTTGGATGAAAATTGGTGTCTGGGAGTTTTATAACATGATAAATTTGATTTTGATGTCATTATGACACCTACTTGTAGAGGGCGCCACCTATACATTTTTTAACTGGTTTGAAGTGTAATAACTTTTCGTCCGTACCTGTATAAAACTACTGAGTAAAAAATATTTATTTACGACGTTTTTTACGTAAAAAAAGTCTCTTGGTAAAAATCGCTACGAGTAATGGTTTTCGAGATATTAGGAATCGAAATTATCAATACCTGTCATCATTGACATAAATTAAACATGTTGACTAATTAGTTATTAGACTGAAATCATAAATTTTAAATGTTTTTGTGTCAAAAGTTCAACAGAAACTGTTTTATCATCATTTTTGGAAGAAAAATTTATTATTAATTTAAAAAAATAAATTTCTCAAATTTATCATTTCAGTCAAATAACTATCTACTTAACATGTTTCATTTTTTGTCAATAATGACAAGTAGTTGACTGTTATAATTCTAAATATCTTTAGAACGGTTGCTCGTAGCCTTGTTTATATATTCTTAAAGTTGGTCAACCTCTCGACAAAATGTGCTGCCTCTGGTAAACAAATCGTAAAGCTTTAAAGGAATGAAGCATGTGATTAGGGGCGGAGTCAAAAATATCGATTATTTGCGGTATTTCCCTCAGAGTAATGTAATAATATAGCTCGGATTTTGCGAACTATAATAGGCTCAGCTGATTAAGAAATTTAAACAAAACTATTATTTCATTGTCGATTTTCGATTATTTTTGCTGTTATTTTAAGGATTCTAAACCGTATTTAACAAAGAAATAACAATTTTCAATATGTTGGTACATTAATGCTAATTACTGGTAATTATTAATATTTAAAAAAAGTTACATACACTTACTTTATTTCGATTTGATCCAGGGCTATAACATTTTATTTCATTCTTTCATCATTTTATTCTAAATTGAGGTTTTACGAATTTAAGATAATTTTTTTTTGAAAACAAAACATTTATACATTCTTGATTAATTTTTTTCTTAATTAAAAATAAAACTTGGCATTTGTTTCAATAATATTATTTGACATTTAAAGAAATATTATGTACTTAATACACCATTTAAATCTTTATTACACGAAATAAATCTTTCTTAGCGTAAAACATGGTCAGAGTCAAGTTTGCTTTAACTTTGTACCATATGAAAAAAAAACGGCATCCAGTTGGCAGGGAAATGACGATCGACGACATTTCCCACATAAATTTACATATAAAATGACAGCGACCTTAATTTCATAGCCATCGCTGACTCCGTTTATTTTCGATCAAGAATTATAAAAACTGAAAATATCATTATGTTTTAACTCACAAAGCCCGTTAAAACATAAAAATTTCTAGTATATTGTTTTATTAGGAGTAAAAATGACACTTTTCGTGGCGAGACTGTAGGTTTGACATACAGCCGAAGCACAAAAGTCATTTTTACTCCGAATAGAACATGCTATTTTTTTCAAACGCCACAAATAATGTTTTAAACAATTTCAAACGTTCCAAATAATATAAAAATATTTAAAACTCATACCTTGTAAGTAATTATCATGATACAAAAAAACAAGGTATGATATTGCGCAGGTTGGTCACCACGTCACAGGTGATAAACGGCAATATTGGTCGGCAAGCTCCACGCGCCAATTTCAAATTTTCAAACAGATGACACATAATAAATGTGTATAATGTGTCATAACTTTTCAAATGTCCAGCTCGATGATTTTACATAACTTTAGGGGTTATTTAATTCTTCCCTATTTTAGGTCTTTTTTTATTAGTGGCAATTGAACAATACGGATATTTTGTTGTATGGCATATGACGTCACAGGCGATATGCGCAAACTGAACGAAATTGGAGACGCTATCGACCATACCTTGTTTTCAAGTTTTCTTTGTACCATGAGTAATTATATATCGAGAAACTATGGTTACGGCTCGTTGAATTTGAGACTTATGTCATTTTAATAATATATTTTCATACTTTTATGCTTAGGCGTAAAGTGCTTTACTTTTATGCCTAGGCGTTAAAATGACTTTTTTATATTGTCAATCACGTCGCAAAAATTAATACTTTTGTGACGTTTGAAAAAAAAATAATATTTTGAAACTAACTGGTATATTTTTCTGCCACAACAAAGTTATTATACAGTGATAAATGATAAGATCATATTGAAATACGCTACTGGGTAAAAAAAATTGGCTAAATTTTATCAATAATACTCCATTTCAAAAGTTATTTTCCAAAATAATTAATATTTTTTAATAATTGATTGCAATTAATATTATTTGACTAGTTTAATTTGATTAATTAATAAGACTAGATTAATTTCATTTAAAATAAATTTGATCAGATTTTTTTCGTATATTCAACTACCAGAAAAGTAGAAGGAAGATTATAATGTATCTATCACAATATTTAAAAGAACTACTACAATAATTATTAGAAGAAAAACAAAAAGAAAAAAATACCCAAATACCTTCACCTTCTACTCAACTACAAAATAAATGAATATAATCTCTTACAAGAACACTACACAAACTACTTCTTGTATTCTACACTAAACAAATTATCAAACTTATTAATTAATCAAACATAAAGAAAAATTAACCAAATTACCCCTTCACCTACTACTTAACTTCAAAATAAAATATAAAAACACTACTAAATTTCTTCTGGTAGTCTACACTAAACATTATAATCAAACTTAATAAATTAATCTAATTTTACATTACAACTACAAAGAAACAAGAAAATATTTTAAAACTACAAGAAATAAAACTTCGATACGTGCGACCAGTATAATAGATCAAGCGGACAAAGAATATAAAATACTTTAAAATGTGCATTCAGAAAGAAAAAATATCTCGAAAATTATCTAAACAAACATTTTTTTTTCTTATCAGTGAAAAACATCGACCTCGTCGGCCTTGCGGAATTTGTCGGGTATTTACTATGGTTGAATTGTATAATTACCAGCTTTTATAGCATATCTAATAGACAAAAAGTATCTGGTCGATTAGTAACCAATTGGCACAGTCCGAAAATTATCGATTTTTATTTTCTCTGTTTTTATTGGCCGCTTCAAAATTCAGAGTAACAAAAAAATTTTTTTTTTCTCTAGTAAAAGACTGTGAAATATACCCCGCCATCTAGTGCTTTACATCCACAAACGTCTTAGATTGAGCTACTTTAAAAAATCATATACAAGGCTCGTAGCGATTTTTACCAAAATACTTTTTTTAGGGAGAAAATCACGGAAATGTATATTTCTTCACTTAGTGGTTTTATACAGGTATACAGACGAAAAGTTATTACTCTTCAAAATAGTTAAAATACATGTAGGTGGCGCCCCCTACAAAGAGGAATCATATTGACATCAAAATCAAATTTCTCATGTCAAAGAACTCCTAGACACCAATTTACATCCAAATATTGACGTTATTTTAGGATACTAAATATCTGTAATACAAATCCAGGGTCGTATTTAAAAAAAGAATGCTGATGGTGGCAAGTTTATCAAGAGTCGATTATTGGAATAAATACAGGGTTCGGCAATAGTGTCGTAAAATATTTTCCTGAAATATATCCCAGTATATACTTTAGGTTTGCACTTGAACAAAATTCTCAAGTTTTTTATTCTAGGAGCTACAGATACCCGACGCCCTATTGCCGGACCCTGTATATTAAATAGGGATGAAATACCTATATTTTAAAACATCTTTTTTGGAAGTTTTTTTCAGTGTTTATTTTATATTATTTCTTTGTAGATTCCGTTATAAAACACAAAATTTGACAAAATTTTTGTAGTAGCAGATTTTTTTACCAGGGAGTGAATAATATATGGTAATCACAAAGGTAATCACAAAACAATTTCCGATGCACGTGATCAATTTTGAGGGACGAGCGATGGCGATAGCGCGGCCAGATTGTGATGGATTTATGAGATGAATCTTAATTTAAAATTGACAAACAATAATATTTATTATATCCCTGTTTAAAAGAGTTTTACGTGTTATTTTTAAGTTAATTAATATTTTAGTAATTAATTGATTTATTTGTTTTATACCTTGTTTTACTTATTACATATTGGCAAAAATTAGTCCATTGTGAAGATTATTCTAACCGTTATTATGGGTTATTTATTTATTGATGACATCTTACAACGCCATAAGTGGTAATAACAAGTAAGAGGATGCTATTAATGCACAAACTAATTATCACAGAATTTAATAAAGCTAACTTTGAACGTGGTATAATGTGCTTATCACAAGGACCTTTATTGTCACGTTCTCGTTCAAATTGTTTATCTGGGAAGCTACAAGCTCTTTGCTTCGGCATATTTTCAACACACAATTTTAAGAAATGCAATACAAAAACTCGAAAATTTAGTTCTTAAAAGACCTGTTTGTGCTTAAAAGTGAATTTTTGAAAAAAAAGTACGAAAATAGGCAAAAAACGAGAATTGCTCACAAAGATTCAACAACAACACGATATTATACAAAATAATGACTGACACTAGGATCATTTTCAAATAATAAAGGACAACATTGCAAACGGCGCAATGTGATCAACATAGCGATAATAAAATTCGGTTTAAACTAATTTTAGCAGCTTTAATCTAAATAAAATATCTGTTACAATTATTTTTCGCTCTATAAAGTAAAATGAAGAGCTGCTCGGTATCTTAAATGATACAACAAATTTAAACATTTTTGTCAACATTTCATTTAGTCAGGTTTATAGACTTTAATGCTAATGTCGATACGATTTATGTCTTGCATCGGAAAATGTTTTGCGATTACAATATACAAACTATTCTGTACAAATAGCATAAACTATATACGTGGAAACCTACCTACAACTTGAAATTTTATTACTGTCGCATCTATGCAACCTTAAGGACTGAACTTCCGAGTCAGCGACTACAATTAATCTGCCCTCTTCCTTTCCCGCGCCTTTCATTATTTTAATTCCACGTACGGACACGTGAACTGGAAATACTTGAATCTCTTCCACAACCACTGGCCGAACTCCGTGTCTTGTTTCCGCAGAGAGGCCATTAACTGCTTTAATGATTTTACCATTATCTGAAATACAACAATTGTATATTTAGTATAAGTTAGGAAAGTAAAATGTTTTTTTTGTAAAAAGAAAAATAATTCAAATAACTAACCTGTTCCAATAAATAACACATCGTAGGTTTTTCCTCCAGGAACCTTAACTTGTGGATCTACTGCTATTTGAGTGAAGCGATAACTAAAAATAAATTTATCAATAAGTAAATTTAAAAAGGTAAAAAATTGTATTGCAAAACATTTATTAAAATAATTTTATTATATAGCTGTATTAAAATTTATTGAAGAGAGAATTTCATTAAAAGTATTACTCAAACATTTTATAAAAATATGTATACAGGGTGGCGCACCTCATTCGCCTCGGTTGATTATACGAAAACGGAAAGATGTAGAAACAAAATATTTTATGATAATTTTATATTTTTTCTTATGGAACACCCGGTATTTTATTTAATTTTTGGATGCATGGGCCCAAAAAAGGCATATATTATAAGGGTTAAATATGTTTAAAATCTTTGGTTTTTGAGATATTTAAAGATAATTAAATTTGCATGCTATTATAGAATAGATTATTAACACCCTGTACATTACTTTTCAGAATAAATTCTTGTGTTGAGTTTAAAGGTAAAGAAATAAACTTTACTGGAAAGTGTTATTACTTCCTTAAATTTATACAGGGGTAACAAAAATTGCTGAGTTAATTTAAGGATTTATTTTACATAAAAACTCTTTACATAAAGAGCAATTTTTCAATAAAATGGCAACCAAGAAAGCTAGTGTCATCATGGCAGATTTTTTTTTGACAGTTAGTAGCTATTTTCAAAATCGAAATTACTTTATGGATTTATTTAAATTTATACCAGTTTATTTTTACTTAATTTACCTACAATAGTTTAATAAATAATATTTATTAAAGATGTATTTATTATTCTATCAAGAAAAACGAAGAAGTAGTTCTTTGATCTATTTTACGATGACTTGTATATATATGCATTTTGTATAAAAGAGACAATTACGGCAAATTCATTTTCTTCACTTCCAACGACAGGTTTCTGCAACAGGTTTTTATAAACCACATTACCAGCTCTGCAAAATAGGGCAAGTAGTTACATGAAAGATAACATTATTGCACAAATGAAGTTACTGATGATGCTTTTAACATGAGTGCCTTGATCAGAATCAGATAGGTAACTCTTTTTACTTTCGTGAAATAGAAAAGGAAAATAATAAAACAAGTGGCAGTTCTTACTGTTCTTATACTCTTCTTGCAAAAATCAACACTAAATGTCATAATTGTCAAAAGTAAAATGTCATCAGCTTTTGACATTTCTAATTATCAGACCAATGTCGTCTCTAATAGAACAGCCTCGGAGCCAGATTTATAACGTCACCCTAGTTAGATACTACGGATTAATAAATATGTTGTAGAATACATGGAAAACATAATTATTCCCTGCATTTTTGGTTATACTAAAACGTTTTTTTTAAACCAAAAAAAATAATAAAAAACCAAATAAAAACAGCGTTTTTATAATAATAATCAGCGTTTTTCCCCAACCTAAATCCCAAGAAAATCAAAAATTTTAGAATAATTTTACATATAAAATGACAGCGATCTTTATTTCATAGCCATCGCTGGCACCTTTTTTTCTATGATATTGTATTATTTGCAAATATACTTTTTGAACATTGATATATATATATATATATATATATATATATATATATATATATATATATATATATATATATATATATATATATATATATATTTTTTTGGTATATATATATAAATTTTATGAATGCAAATAATAATACATCACTATTAGTAGATATTGAATGTTTTCTGTTAAATTAGATCGATTTTCAAACCCCAAAATTTAAAATATATTTTACATTTTACCCATTATCTTATGTACCTATTAATTATTTGTATATTGTAAAACATTTGGCTGCATTTGTGTGGTTCATAGTTTATTTGCCAAAGTTATTTATTACTATAAATAGGTATATACCGCGTGCGTCTCAAAAGTGGCTCGCCCCTATAACTTTTTTATTTTTTCAGATAAAACAACGAAATTTGGTATGTTAGTATATGACATAAATTGGGATTGATTGACGTATTCAATTGTTTTCGGTCACTTCCGGTTTCACCGGAAATGACTACAACTTTCGATTTTTAAGTAGCACCCTCGGTATTTTTTTACTTTATTCGATAGAAAATGACACTTTGAATCGAATGACATATCATATGTCAATTTTTGACATAGTCACTCAAAACCAAATTCTATTTTTAATTTCAATCTAGAGTGCTATGGCTGTGCTAAAAACACTAATTTTTAATCAAGAAGCCTTGGAAAAATAAATTTGATCGTCTAATGTTTTTAGTGTCTTGTCCTGGCAGGTTAAAAGATGCCCAAATCGTATTTTTAGCCATATCTCAATTTCTTCAAATGGAACGAGGGTGGCTCATTAGCATATTTGGAAAAAGCATTTTTTTTACGAATAATTTGATACCACACACTTGGTATTTTGAGTCAAATTGTCGTTATGAACCGCATGTTACAATTTTAAATAAACCATATGCCAAAATGTCAAAAGTTGACATATGATATGTCATTCGATTCAGAGAGTCATTTTCTATCGAATAAAGTAAAAAAATACCGAGGGTGCCATTTAAAAATCAAAAGTTGTAGTTATTTCCGGTGAAGCCGAAAGTGACCGATAACAATAATTGGATACGTCAATCAATTCCAATTTATGTTATATACTAACATACCAAATATCGTTGTTTTATCTGAAAAAATAAAAAAGTTACAGGGGTGAGCCACTTTTCAGACGCACCCGGTATATATTGTATTTATTAACTGTATATTATGCATATTTCATGTAAACTATGTATATCATTTTTAAAATAGAAACCAAAAATACGAGGAATAATTATGTTTTCCATGTATAACATATTTATTAATCTGTAGTATCTAACTAGCGTGACGTCATAAATCTCGCTCCGAGGCTGTTCTGCTAGAGACGGCATTGCGTCAGCATGGCTGCAAGTTGCTAACCTAATAAAATTAACACTAGAAAAGCCCGCGGGAACTGTCAAATTCAAAGTTATTCGTTTCACAGACTATATATGGATTTTCTATAAAAGAGACAATTACGGCAAATTCATTTTCTTCAGTTCCAACGACAGGTTTCTGCAACAGGTTTTTTATAAACCACATTACCAGCTCTGCAAAATAGGGTAAGTAGTTTTTCAAAGGAACGCTTATCAGGAAGATTCCTATTTTTGGATACCTTTGAGCTATCCAAAAATCCATTGAGATATCCATATTATCTTAAGGCCAAGAAGCAATTTTCCTAACAAGATAAAATCACTAGAAACATTTCCATTCGTTCCGCCAGCAGATATTGCTTTATTTTTTTGATAAAATAATGCATACTTATTTATTAAACTATTGTAGGCAAATCTAAGTAAACTGTTATAAATTATAAATAATAATGTCCATAAACTAATGTCGACTTTGAAAATAGTTACTAACTGTCACTAGAAAATTGCCATGGCGACAGCAGCCATCTTGATTGCAATTTTATTTAAAAATCGCTTTTTATTCAAAATTTGAGCTAGATAGGTATAGGAAACCCCAATATAGTTTGAAAGAGCATTTGAATCTGCTTCGGATTATTTTAAAAAATACAGAGTGTTGCATTTGAAATAACGAAGTTTTTATATAAAATAAATCCTTAAAATAGATCAGCAATTTTTGATACCCCTGTCTAAATTTAAGGAAGTAATAACATTTTCCAGTAAAGTTTATTTGTTTACCTTTAATCTCAACACAAGAATTAATTCTGAAAAGTAATCTACAGGGTGTTTGTTCTTCATCCTGAAAGTTCGTGAACATTCCCTCGTTATCAATGAGAACGTTTTGTCTATATGAAAAAAACAAAGACATAATGTACAATGTACATTCGTGCAACTTCGTTCGCGAATGTTACTGAACGTTACCAGTCGCTACAAATATGAACGCTCTCTGATTACAACACTTACTGAAAACTCGTCCTTATAACGATGGGTTGACCGAAGAAGTTGGGCACGCTCTGGTCCATAAGCGAATGCGTCTTGATAAAATTCAGCGTCAAGTCGGGCAAAGTTCTGCTATCGTTGTGACATTGCCCCGGGCGTGGGTCGGGCACCTTAGTGCTGAGCACCGGCAGCCAGTTGGAGTTTATGGCGGCTTGTTCTTTAAAATTGCCCTCGAACGTATCCGTAATTTCCTGCAGGCTGAAGGCGCAAACGGCGCTGCCGGATATACTGTTCGGCGGAGTGGTGAACGTTCCGTATATCAGTTGCGCCGATACGTCACCGTATTTGCCATCGATCAGTTGGGTGGCGGATTCTAAAAGAATAAGTTATATATTACTACATTGAAAAAGGGACACATAAAATTTTCATATATTTTAAAGTTCAATATATTATGTTCTAGTGGGCTGATTTTTTAAGAAATTTGTTTGGTGGAACTCGAATCAAGAGAGAAACCAAATGGCCTCAGTTGTAACTGAGTCTGATTGGTGAAATCAGAGAAGATCTGATTAATTTACAGCTTTTTCAGATGGAGCGGAGTGTCCGCGAGGGACCGCCCGGCGTCCGTCTGTTTTTTCAAGATAGCCGTTAGACGAACTCCGTCGAACCGAGCATACGCGACCCATGTGAAATTGTTCATATAAACTCATGGTACTTGCTCGAAGTCGCGGACGGTCCGCTCCATCTGAAAGCGCTGTTAATAGAAAGTGTATTATCTATTGGCAAAAGGAACATTAGTATTTCTATTCACTACTCTTAATATACACAGAAATCCAATATAAAAAGACGCCGTAGATTAGATAAACACCTCTCATATACGAATAAATTATGACAAATATCAAAATGAATTAATAGTCTTTCCTCCTTTTTTTTCTTAAAATATACTGGGTCCGGCAATAATGCGTTGGGCATCTGTAGCTAGATTAAAAAAACTTAAGAATTTTGTTTAGGTGCAAATTTAAAGTATGTTCTGGGATGTATTCCAAGAAAATACTTTAACTTCTATAGGCTGGCTCAAACAGGTATGAGTGGATCGGGATGATTTTTTTTAAATGAAACACCCTGTATATTATTGAACTTTTGGCTTCTTTTCAGATCACTTTACATAATTCTAAGATATGAGTAAATATATTTCGATAGTTTCAGAGACATTAATAAATAAATAAAAAATATATATTTTTAGTCTTTCTTAAGAAAATTATTAAAAATACAAGAACTGCCCTGAAACCAAAACTATATTAGATACTTACTTTGGATGGTTTGTACTTACTTTGCTATAAATATGGTAATCGTATGCCATACAGGATGTTCAAAATTTGACGCCAATTTAATGCCATTTGACAATTTACATATTGTTTTTTTAATAGACGGAGAATTAAAAAATAAGATTAAAAATGAGATTAAAAATGAGAAAAATGAGATGAGATTTTTTGTATTTAGAGTATTTCAAAGCTGTTAACGGTTATGCAAATATTCGCGGTTTTATATTTCATATGGCATTTTCCATAGTAAATTTTCATCAAAGCCATGCAATGATTTTTCTCTCGTATTTTACTGTTGTAAAATAATACTGCGTGTATCTGCGAAACCATTAAAAATTTTGAAATACTTTAAATACAGAAAATGTTCATTTTTTAATTCTCCATATAACAAAGAAAATATCAGGGTTCTAGCCTTCTTGTCTCCATTAAAAAAAAACAAAGAAAAATTATTTTATATTTTAGGAAGTTTGGCGTAGAATTTTGAATATTCTGTATGATTTAAGATTACAATATTTATAGCAAAGTTAAGTATAGACCATAAATACCTAATATAGTTCTGATTTCAAGACAGTTCTTGTATTTGTAATATTTTGTTTTAATAAAGGTTGAAAATATATATATTTTTTTATTTATTTACTAATATCTCTGAAACTATCGAAATATACAGGGTGTTTCAAAACAAATGCGGAAAACTTCAGGGGGTGATTCCTTGTTCAAAATAAAGGGTAGTTTGCTTCATAAACGTTGGGTCAAAAGTCAACCATTAGGGAGATATCGCGGTACAAAGATGGCGGAAAAATAATGTTTTTATTTTTTATCTTGAAAACGAAAAGAGATAGACTAATGAAATTGTATGGAAGCATTACTGTTATGAAAACACCCGTTCTGGTAATTTTTTCACTTTTTTAAAATAAGTGGAAGGGGTAGTTTATTTCACTACCCCTATCATTCTTGTTAACGAAATTTAAAGAAAAATCTTATCAAACACGTGCAAAAAAATTAATTTGGATAGTTTAGTTTGTTTAGAAACTTTTTTATCTCTTGTATTTTTTTGAAAAAACTCACCGATTTGAAATTAAAAAATAAAATGTAAAGCATTACATGTCAGGACAAAAAACATTTTCTGATAAAGAATCTAGTGGGTTGCTGTAATTTTTTTAGGAAAAAATCTAGTCGGCCGCTGTTACTTTTTAGGATGTTTCTAATATTATTTTATTTGACATTACTCTACCGCGATACGTTATTATCTAGATGATTATTATTATCGTTATTTTCTTTCTAAGATTCTTAATCTAAAAATGTGTTTTGTCCTGACATGTAAAGATTTACATTTTATTTTTTAATTTCAAATCGGTGAGTTTTATCAAAGAAACACAAGAGATAAAAAAGTTTCTAAACAAACTAAACTATCCAAATTAATTTTTTTGCATGTGTTTGATAAGATTTTTCTTTAAATTTCGTTAACAAGAATGATAGGGGTAGTTTATTTCAACCCCTTCCACTCATTTTAAAAAAGTGAAAAAATTACCAGAAAGGGTGTTTTCATAACAGTAATGCTTCCATAAAATTTCATTATACTCTGTTTTTTTTCTCAGGTAAGATTTCGACAGACGATGACAGAAGAAAAGCAGATGACATCCCATACCAATCTATTTATTTTACTAAAAAAAGTTTCTAATAATTTTTAAGTTAACTATGGATGGGTTTAAATATAAATCCGTCATACGTCGTCTATTGTTGTTTTTAACCAGTTTTATTGGTTTATTTCAAAAATGGCAGATCGTATTTCAATTTTATTGGTTTGACGGAACGATGAACGACAAACGGACGCCGATGCGTATGAACTCGCCTTTAGATTTTTTAGATTTTTGACACTTGTCAAAGTCTTGTCAAATTATAGGTTATAATTTTGTGTCAACTTTTGTTAAATACCCTGCGTTTTGGAAGATGATGCATTTTGATTCGTGTTATTACGTGTGTTTTGTGTCTTTTGAAGTCAAGTAGAGGAAAAATCGAGTGAAAATTAACTGTACACCCAGAGCACAGTTTATGGTTAATACTCGCTGCCCAGACAGAAAGTCTTATACACCAATAAAGTTACCATCAATAAAGTTCGTATACCATCTCGTCGTAGATAAGTGCATTTCGAATATGGTAGAAGGACCATACTAAAAACTGGAGTAGCTGTAAAATATCGACATCACATGATAGGTAAATAATGGATTTTAGTACTGCAGCAAAAAATGTCAAAAGGTACTGATTTAAAAAAATTTAAATTAAAGTTAATTAATCAACCTTTAAGGTATAACATTTGGTAAGTGTTATTATTAATAAAATAGTTTGTTTTATTTATGTTGTTTTATTTATTCCTGTGGAATATTACAAATTTGTATTTGTACATAAGTTATATTGATAAATAATATAATCATAAATGCGGGAAGTTTCATAAAGCTTGAAAGTAAGAAACAGTTTTTTTTATATTTTTTTGGTATGTGGTATCTTGTTCCTGTTTGTTTTGTATTAACACATACCATTTTTCATTAAATAAAATAACTCGATTACATTTTTTCAGTTTTATACAGTTTTTTTTCACAATATATTGAAGTAATCACTTGTCAGTCAAATATCGAAAGTCAGTTTAAATATATTAATTTCCTGCTATGCGTTCCAGTTGTACCAACTTATTTCTTTGTAAAATAAAATAAACTACTTTGAAATTAAAATGACAGACACATCTATCACTGTCAAGGATCTTCTCGTTGGACAGACTATAATCTATCTCTTTTCGTTTTCAAGATAAAAACATTATTTTTCCGCCATCTTTGTACCGCGATATGTCCCTAATGGTTGACTTTTGACCCAACGTTTATAAAGCAAACTCCCCTTTATTTTGAACAAGGAATCACCGCCTGAAGTTTTTCGTATTTGTTTTGAAACACCCTGTATATACCCAACCTAACCTAACCTACTCATATTTTAGGATTATGTAAAGTGATCTGAAAGGAAGCCAGAAATGCAATAATATACAGGGTATTCTATTTAAAAAAATCATCCCGATCCACTCACACTTTTTTGAGCCACCCTATTGAAGTTTAAATATTTTCCTGAAATACATCCTAGTATATACTTTAGGTTTGCACTTAAACAAAATTCCCAAGTTTTTTATTCTAGAAGCTACAGATACCCGACGCACTAATGTCGGACCCTGTATTAATAGATGTTAACGGTGTATAAATTGACAGAAGCGATCTAATACTTAATTTTTTTTATAAGCACAGTTCATTAATCAAGAGAGAAATATAGCAATTATAACCCTTCATAATATTATATATTTAAAAGAGAGGAAAACGAAATAGAACATGAAAATATAACTAAGTAAAAAATTTTAAATTATGAAACTGTATGAAGAGAACAAAATACCCTAGTGGAAAATGATTTCATATTAATCCACATAAATTAAATTCTATTCAAGCTTTAAAATTTAGATGTATAGTTTGTCCAACGAGAAGGTACCTACATGACAGTAACAGAGTTTTTTGTCATTTTTTTGGAAAGCACTGTTCATTAAAATGTTGTATCCTATGTTATAGGGTTTGTTTCTCTCTACAATTTCCTGTCTCACAATGTACCGTTTGTGTCGGGGAAGGGATCATATTTTCATAGTTGTCGATTGTCGAAAGAGATCAGTACATGTATATTATTTCGTATATTTTTCATTTTATTGATTTTATGGAAAGCACTGTTCATTGAAATGTTGTATCCTATGTTATAGGGCTTGTTTCTCTCTACAATTTCCTGTCTCAAAAGGTACCGTTTGTGTCGGGGAAGGGATCATAGTTTCATAGTTGTCGATTTTCGAAAGAAATCAGTACATGTATATTATTTCGTATATTTTTCATTTTATTGATTCTATGGAAAGCACTGTTCATTGAACTGTTGTATCCTATGTTATAGGGCTTGTTTCTCTCTACAATTTCCTGTTTCACAATGTATCGTTTGTGTCCGGGAAGGGTTCATAGTTTCATAGTTGTCGATTTTCGAAAGAAATCAGTACATGTATATTATTTCGTATATTTTTCATTTTATTGATTTTATGGAAAGCACTGTTCATTGAACTGTTGTATCCTATGTTATAGGGCTTCTTTCTCTCTACAATTTTCTGTTTCACAATGTATCGTTTGTGTCCGGGAAGGGTTCATAGTTTCATAGTTGTCGATTTTCGAAAGAAATCAGTACATGTATATTATTTCGTATATTTTTCATTTTATTGATTTTATGGAAAGCACTGTTCATTGAACTGTTGTATCCTATGTTATAGGGCTTGTTTCTCTCCACAATTTCCTGTTTCACGATGTATCGTTTGTGTCCGGGAAGGGTTCATAGTTTCATAGTTGTCGATTTTCGAAAAAAATCAGTATATGTATATTATTTCGTATATTTTTCATTTTATTGATTTTATGGAAAGCACTGTTCATTAAAATGTTGTATCCCATGTTATAGGGCTTGTTTCTCTCTACAATTTCCTGACTCAAAATGTACCGTTTGTGTCGGGGAAGTGATATAATTATGTGTGATCTAAATAGACTAATGTTATATACTAGAGATAGATGGGATACTTCAATAAAACAAATAAATCCGTCATTAAGAGGCACCTGGTGGCTTGGTAGAAACTAACTAATAATATGCATAACATGAGATACGTTTAACAGATAAGAACGCCCAAAAACGTACACTTTCAAAAATAAAATATTTTTTGAAGATATGAACACCAGAAGGGTCAATTTAATAGAAAGTCTACTTGTCGATTGGCAAAAGAAACACGTTGCCTTTTTATGGCACTACTCTTGATATACTTACGTATTTCGTTAAAGTAAAATGGAAATTCTCCTGTAACTGAACAATTTAGTCTTGATTTGAGGAAGGACGTCCATCGATTTCTAAAACGATGAGGGCCTCCTCTGTCATTTTTGCAGACGCGAGCCACACGAGAATATACAGCCTAAAATAATAAATACATTTATTTAAGTAATGATCTCAAAAATTGTTTGAAAAAGAATATCTACTCGTATACTATGTACGTACTTTCCCACAATTAATATATTCCACTGCGGTTTCTCTGAAGAAGAAGTAGACGTAGTCTCCTTGAGTCATCGATCCAACGAAGTCTGGAGCTAAAATCATAATTTTATTCATTAATAAATATATCTTGTGTATAAGTTAAATATTTTCTTAATCCTTTATTAGACTCAGTTATAATATCACGTAAATCAAAGCATTATTTTGAAGACATGAAAATAGTACCGTATGATCGAAAAGAAACGGCGTCAGCGATGGCATGAAATGAAGATCGTTGTCATTCTATATGTAAATTTATATGGGAAATGTCATCGATCGTCATCTCCTAGCCAACTGGGCGCCGTTTTTTCATACACTATATTGTTTTATTTTTTTTTATTAGGAGTAAAAATTACACTTTTCGTGGCGAGGCTGTACGTTTGGCAGTCGAGGCACAAAAAGTAATTTTTACTCCGAATAGAACAAGCTATTTTTTTCAAACGCTACAAATATATTTATAATATTTGAATGTTTTTAAAATCAGATAAAAAAATTATACTAATAAAATATTACTCATTGAGATATTTTTGGCAATATTGAATACAAATAATTCGGTTTCATAAATTAATTAAGTTTTAAGTTCTTACCATTTAAACTCATTGAATCGTATTGTTCTGTTTGTAGCGGTTCTCTATAAATAATGGGATCCATTCCACTAAAGTCAGCTACAGTTCCTGTATAAAGATCCCCATCTAAAAGAAAAACATATATGGCTGATTAAATCAAATTCACTTAAGCCAAAAAAGTTACTTTTTAACCAAAATAGATAAAACAAACTAGGTGTTAGTTTACGCCATTTGGAACTCAAGAACGGTCGATGGAGTTCAAATAGGAAAGGGATTGGACAATATATTTTTCTTCTATACCTAGTTTTTTTTTATAAAATACGAATGTGAGATCATCAAAACCATTTATTTTGTAGACATGCAATTTTTTTGTCATAATAGGACAGGACATGATTCTCAACTTAATTTTTTTTCTACTTTTAACAGTTACTTCATTTTTTTTAATCTGAGTAACCGTTCTAAAGCAAATCCGTTTTAATATTATTTAGTTCAGTATTAAGTGATGGTTGGTCACTGCATAAATCTGCTGATCAATCATCACTTAATACTATAAAATAATATATGTTTTAAATGTATAATACAGAATATATGTTTTAACTATTCCTTTCTTAGTGCTTCAGAATGGTTTTACTGAAAACTTAAATGCATTCGAGAGTTCTCTCACGGCTTTAGGAGGCAGCAAAGCTCTTTGCCAAAATGTTATGCAGAATATATACAGGGTGGTCTGAATTGTATTCGGGAAACTTCGGCAGTATATTCTGCAGATAAAAATAAGTAAAAAAGTTCGTATAAATTTATGTCTTAAAATACTTCATTTCGGAGACACAGGGTGTAGAAATTTCATTTTTATTTCAGTATTCTCCAAATAATTTCTCGTTTTGGTGTTTTTTGACATGAGAAATTCGATTTCGATGTCAGTATGACTCCTACTTGTAGGGGGCGCCACCTACATATTTTTAGGTCTTTTGAAGAGTAATAACACAGCCCGACTCTACTTGACAAGCCGCGAACAAGGAAATCTGGCAACCCTGGTTTCAGATCGATCGATACACGTTTAGTCATATGATTTACATTCATTGACGTGTTGCTCTGTTATGTTTTTGTAAATAAATCCGCTTTTTTGGAAGAAAATATTGTTTAGTTAAAGACTAAAGTTGTGAAAAGTCTTACTGTGTGAGATTTGTAAGTTACCGGGACAATTTTTTTCTGTAGACATTGCGTAAAAACAAATATCCGTGGGTGAAAAATTCGCCGGGTTATAAGCGACGTTAAGAGCTTTCTTCAAAGAATGGCGGCAAATTCGGCGGCGAATGAATATTTTGTGGTGCTTTTTAGAACAATTTATTGAAAGTTAGTTATTGTTGTAATCAACAATTACCATGCCAAGTCCATAGATAAAAGAAAATAATCTTCTATTAAGATAGATATATGAAACTTAATAGTAAAATTTTGGCCAAACCGCCCCTCCGTGTTCTTAGTAGAGACTACGTTTAACCCAGCGCCTTGGCCTTTTCTGCTGTAAATATTTTTTATGTTTATATTTGATTTCAAAGGATTTAGTTTTAAAGTTACACTGATATATTAGTATATCAGAGTAACTTTAATAAAACATAAGAATATTTTGACTACAAGGTAGAAAGTAAATCACAATATTTGATAAAACTTATAAGTATACCATTATTACAGTTAATAAATAATAAAACTATTTCTGAATATGATATTTAAAATTTAGATAGATAGAATATTAAAAAACATACCGGTATTTGCAGACGCAGGCCCAAATTCAATAAAAATCAAAATTTTTCCTGCCAAAATCGTTTTTTTTTCACAGAAAAGGTATTTTTTGATTTATCAACAATCATTGTCAAGTTGACAATATACAGGGTGTTTTCTAATTAGTCTAAAAAATTGTGGTGTGATTCCTCATGTGTTTTGAAAACAATTTTTATACCGTATGATCGAAAAAAAAAACGGAGTCCAGTTGGCTTCGAAATGAACATCGATGACATTTTCCATATAATTTTACATATAAAATGACAGCGATCTTCATTTCATAGCCAACTGGACTCTTTTCCAGACTTTTTTTCGATCATACCGTATAACCATTAGGTCTAAAGTACTTCCTTTCTGATCTACAGGGTGTTAAAAATTTAAAAAAAATCGATATTTTGCTTAACATAAATGGTACACTACTGCTTTTTTAAAGAAAATATATTTTTTTCTTGACTGGCCATCCTTTTCAACAAAATTGATCTTTTGAGTTTTTCTTGTTCATCAAACGGTTGCCGAGAAAAAAATAAATATACTTATTAAGAGTCCGCCTTAAGACGTTTTCTAACGATTTTTTATTTTTTAGATTAATTAGAAACACCCTGTATATGCATATCACAGGCAACCAAATAAACTAGTAACCTCTAAAAATAATTTTTCCTACCACTAGCGACATACCGTGTTTTTAGTGAGTACTAAATTATTTTATCAAAATTTCACCATATAAGTTTCCAGGCAATGGCCAAATCCTTGTTGTGTGCCTGGGTGCAAATCCAATTATAAAACTTGTCTTGATGCAGGAGAACCAGCGATATCTGTTTTGACCTTTCCAAAGGATGAAAACCTTAAAGCCCAATGGCTTAGGAATATTCCTAGGGAGGCATGGTTACCCTCAAAGTATTCTGTGATATGTGCTAAGCATTTTGGTAGACAGTGACATTATTAGGGAGGAGGATTATCGCTTGCCAGATGGATCAATGCAAAAGGTACCTACTAAAACTAGACTAAAGTTAAATACAGTGCCTAGTATCTTTCCAAATTTGCCACATTACTTGTCAAAAACAGTCCCTGTTGCCCGAAAAATTCCTGCTGGAAGAACCAAAGAAATGCAAGATCGAAGTGAGCAATTTAAGCATTATTTTTTTTAGTTTTGAGTGGCAAATTGGTGCAAACCTTAAATTAATTTATAAATACGCGCCTCGGTAAAACGGCCCGTCGCGCATTCGCGCTCGCTAGAAACAGATCTGAATCTGTTGCCGGTTGCGGCGTTGCCAAATGGTTGTTCACGGCTTGTTAAGTAGAGTCGGGCTGTGGTAATAACTTTTTGTCTGTACCTGTATTACACTAGTGAGAAAAAAAATACATTTCCTTCACTTTTTACGTAAAAAAAGCCTCTTATGACCTATTGACTATTTCCATTCCAAATATGTTGAAAACGGTTGGTCGTAGCGATTTTTACCAAGAGACATTTTTTTACGCAGAAAATCACGGAAATGTATATTTTTTCACTCAGTAATTTTATACAGGTACGTACGAAAAGTTATTACTCTTCAAATCAGTTAAAAACATGTATGTGGCGCCCCCTACAAGTAGGAGTCATATTAACGTCAAAATCAAATTTCTCATGTCAAAAAAAAATCACCCAGATACCAATTTTTATCCAAATATCGACGTAAATTCAGAAATTATTTAAAAAAGTAAATAAAAATGAAAATTCTATACCCTGTATCTCCGAAACGAAGCATTTTTGGACATACATTAATACGAACTTTTTTTACTAATTTTTATCTGCACAATATGCTGCCGAAGTTTCCCGAATACAATTCGGACCACCCCACACATGGAAAAATGCTATGTTTAGCTTGAGAAAAATCCAAATTAATTTTTTTTCGTATGTTAATCTACATATTGTTTTTCTTATTACATTTGTAGGGCTAATTTTAAATATTATAAATTTTTCCATTCAAGTAGAATAGTGCAAGCTTTACCGAAAATTGATGTAGTTCGCACCTTTCGTGGAGCGCAAAAGAGTGCCATTTACACCCAGCACTGCCATTTGAATTTTTGTTAATAATATATGAAAAAAAGGCTTGTAATAAACTTAGAAATTCATAATTTATATTATCTGTCTTCTTAAAACTAAAAAAATCCTTTCTTTATATTACAGGAGTGGTATAGAAATCAGTGGACTCTCTGCAAATAAAGGGATATTTCAAAAAAGGGCAAATTTGAGAAAGCTGATTTTTTTATACCTGTATCAACATACATTAGAGATTTTGATAAATTAAAAGCGGAACTCCGTGGAACTCATTACTATAACTCATGAAAACAAAATTATAAAAAAATAAACATATAATAGTGTGTTTTAAATATACAGGTTGTTAAATTGTTTATTACTCGCGGCAAGAGCTTTATGGTTGAAATATGGCAACCTCGGCCGCTCGAGTGACGTCGCGATCGATGGGACTAGTCGGCAGTACTCATTTGGAATTGGATGGGTGAGGAGCGTCACATTTTTTAAAAATATTACGCGAACGTCGAGACATTGAATTATTGAAATAATTTTCCCAGGCAAATTTTACATCTGCGGATTTTCTCAAAAACTTCATCACGTAGCTCAGGATGTCAATACAAATCTGTTACATTTGGCGATTATTTTTGTTTAAAGTCCTGAATCACTTATTGAAATTTATGAAAAAATACGTAGAGTAAAACCCGCATAGCACAATAATCCCAAAATTTTATGCCGTGTAATGCATTATGAAAATAAAAGCGTTATTCTAAAAAAATAAACTATAAAATCCAATAAATAAAAACAGAAAAATCAAGAATTAATTCAATAACAATAAATAAATAAATAAAAAATATGTATTTCTACAAAAATGGCTCAAACAGCCTTCCTTCTTTCGCTAAACAAAATTCTAACCTATGATAAAAACTGCTTTGCACCTCCGAAAGAGTTTCTGCTGTAAGGCATTAGAGGTCTCAACAATTTTTGCTCTTAACTCCTCTAAATTTGTCGGCCTCCTGACTTCGTGGCTGTAAATAGTCTCCTTAAGATAACCCCACAAAAAGAAGTCACTCGGAGACAAATCGGGAGATCTAGGCGGCCACCTAATATCGCCAGTCCCACTAATAAGGCGGTTAGGAAAAGTATTCGACAAAAACTCTTTTACTCTAACCGCATTATGAGCGGGACAACCGTCTTGTTGAAACCATACTGTTTCCAGGTCAACATCAGGAAAGTTTTGAACGGCGGGAAAAACTTGGTTCTGAAGTAGCTCAAGATATTTGTCAGTATTCAGGGTGCCATCAATAAAAAATGGGCCTATTAAATGGTCACCTAAAATACCTTCCCAAACATTGAGTTTTTTAGGGTACTGGGTGCGATATTCAAAACTTCGGTGTTCATTTTTCTGAGACCAATAGCGGACAATAGAAGGATTGTGTTTTCCTTGCAATGGAAAGGAGGACTCATCAGTGAAGAGAATATTTTTCAGAAAATTATCATCCTGATTAGCCTTTTCCATTACAGTTTCACAAAATTCCATTCTCCGCAGATGGTTATCAGGAAATAACTCCTGAGTTTTAGAATATTTGTAGCATTTGTAGTCATATTTTTTCCAAATTGTTGTAACTGTTACGTTAGAAACACCCAGTTCCTTGCCAACACTTCTACTGGATCGTGTACTATCCAGTTCCAGAGCACCACAAACCATTTCGTCCCGCCGTTCTTTTTCCTGAACTATCTCAACAGGCGGTTCTTGCTTAAGGTGGCATTTTTTGCAGTCGTTGGATCAAAAACATTGTTCGAAACTCGAAACAATGTTTAGGATCGTTTTCGCACACGGAATGGGCCTATCCTCAAAGACTACTGCAAAAAGATCCCTACACTGTGTTGCTGAGTTACCACCGTAATACCATTTAATCAACTGAACTCTTTCGGGAGGTGTATAAACAGCCATGTTTAGCGAAAAAACAAGTAAACAACGCTTTACTCTCAGTACTACAGTCACACAGCGAATAGTGAATTTAAATAAAAATTGCCGGCATTCTCAAGGACAGGTAGTAGGCAGTGTTGCCATTCTGTTCCCCAATAAGTAATCGTACACTTAACAACCCATATATTTTATCTACAACCGTTTAGTTATAACGTTTATCACTATTTTTTTAGTATTTCAGTTACGTTATGAGATTCATAACGCAACTAGTGGTGTTATGAATCTATAACACAACTAGTTTCTATAATAATGAAAAACAACTACGAACATCTAAATATATTAACTTTTCCGGCAATAATGATTCCGTGGCACGTACTGCGGCAAGTTCTACATCTGAAGGAAGACTTTCGGAATCGCTCATCGTAATTTTTAAAATGATTTTTCTGGGCAAAAAGCGCTCGCGTTTACTTGACAGGGCAAACTGACTTTTCAGCATAAATGTAACAAATGTCATAGTTAAAGGTGTTACAGGTGGGCGACTAATAATCGAAAATTAAAACAGCAGTTTCTTATTTTTCGGTTGTAGATAAAACGTTGTACATGACACGTGCGTTTAAATATGATTACAACACTCGTGTGATTAGAACGATTCGGTCTACGATCTCGTCGTTCTAATCGTTCACACTCGTTGTTGTAATCATGTTCATAAACACACTTGTACTGTAAATAACTATTATCTACATTCAAAACAGTTCAAATTTATTATATTGATGTTATTTAATTGTACTACATGTCTGTAGCTATATTGTCCATAATGATAATCAATTTTCAAATGGCTGTGCTGGGCGTAAATGACGCTCTTTGCGCTCCATGTTTGTGCAAGGCTAACGCTCTCCCCAGAAAGTGCGGACTCATCAATTTTCGGTAGCGCTTGCATCGTTATAGTTGATCGGAAAAAACATTTAAAATTAGGTCCACAGATTTAATAAGAACAACAGTGAGTGGATGAACATACGAAAAAAAATATATGTAATTTCGATTTTTGTCAAGCTAAACATAGCATTTTGCCGTGTGTGCACCCTGTCGAAAGTTTACTTAGGTATCAAAAATATTATGCATTAAAAACAAATTAGCAAAAAATGTACTTTCATCGTTTTTCCCGAATGCTCTTCAAATATACTTAATATTTGCCATTTATATATGACCTCTAAATTAAAGGGGAAAAATATGGAACATTAATAAACCTCCAAGCTCGTGAAGCAACATTTCCCGGCCACTTACCCACATAAATTGCCGTCGAGTTATGATGCGGATCATAGGGGCACACCGCTTGACCGTGTTTCTCCTTTTCGACGGTGTAATTCTTGTTGAGGACGTTATACTCGCGGCAGATAGGCTTGAAAGCGTTGGTACCGCACAGTAACAAACGGCCCTGGGCGGACTTGGCCATTATACGGATGTAATTTTGGCAGTTCTCCTGCAAAATAAAGAAAAGTATCGTCATAATTGCGTCTGCGGTGCTTTATAAACTTAAGACCCTTGACCGTTAGTTATGGACGGGATTATGTATACGTTAAGATTCTTCATAACGGTTATTTTTAACAAGAATTCAGTATTATGTAGGGGTGATAATTTTTATCGGTCTATAGGTTTTCGAGGTAATTTATATATACAGGGTGTCCGAGAAATAAGTGCAAGTATTTGAAGTGGTGGTAGATCTCGATAAAAGAAACATATTTTGTCTTTATCGTTTTTCAAATAAGTCCAAAATAACGGAATTATTTTATTTTGAAAATTTCCAAAAAAAATGATTTTTCGATAAAATTTTGAGAACCACTGGATCTTTTCTGGATTTTCTTTCTCGTAAATTTAACCTAATACCTATGTTATCATATTATCAAGAAATTATCTTTTTTAACTAAAAACTAAAAAAAAAATCCAAAAAAAATTTTCAAAAAATTTCGAGTTTTCAAAAAAAAATTTTTTCGCGAAAAATACCTCCTAGGCGTGTTTCTGGGGTTGAACTACACTACCAGTTAAAATACTTGCACTTATTTCTGGGACGCCCTGTATACAGGGTGATTCACGGCGATGGTACGTTAGACGTTTATGGAGAACCGGTGAGAGGATTTTTTTGAAAATTTGGATTTTTGCATAAAGGCAACTTCTGCATCTGTCTAAATTATTTTCAGCGTTAAATTATTTGCCGCTTCATACTAAAAGTGGTAACACCTTTGTTAGTTTAAATGGAACACCCGGTATATTATTACATTTTTGAAAACTACTTTGATATCTCATAATTTTTATATTATACTAACCTATACCTATCTCTGATAGTTTTCGATATAAAAAATAAAACATGTGTAAAATTGGCAAAAACATTATATTGAATAAGCATTGGTTAAATCATAAATTCGGCATATTGAAAGCTGAAATTTGGTTTATAAGTCAGCATATCTAATCTATCTAAATCAACTGAATGGATATCAAACAGGAAGGTCAGAAAAAATAATTATTTCCGTTTGTTATAAAATTAGTCAATCTGTGTTATTTTAAATTTAACTCTATGAATATTATTTAAAAATCAAAACTCAAATAAAATTGCTTTTCAACGATATATCATGTTACGATTCCTAAACCTTCTGGTTTCTTCAGTAAAGCCATTTAAAAGATAATTCTATTAAAATTGTTTTGTTTAGAGAAACTCATGGCCATGACAAATATTCAAACTTTATAAGTATCAATTAGAGTTTACGTGCTAAATTTCTAAAATTGTCATAGTAACGACATTCTTGAAATGAAACTATAATAATAGAATTATTCATTTTTAAATAGCTCTGCTTAAGAAACCGGAAGGTTTAGGTATAGGAACATGATAAATTTTATTAGTCTTTTAATTTTTTGAACAATATTTATAAGGTTGAATTTAAAATAATAAAAATTTGTGTAATTCTATGAGAAACGGAAATAAATATTATTTTTGCTCTCTTTGTGTAATATGCAATTGATTTATTTAGACAGATCGAATATATCGACTTTCGTTAACTTATAACCCAAATTTCAACTTTAAAAATGATGATGATTGCATGATGTACCAATGCTTATTCACGATCATGTTTTTGTAAATTTTACACATGTTTTATTTTTTATCTTAAAAACTATTAGAGATAGGTATAGGTTAGTATAATATAAAAATTTTGAGATATGAAAGTACTTTCCAAAAGTGTAATAGTATACTGGGTGTTCTATTTAAAATAAGAAAGATGCTACCACTTTTCCAATGATGCGGCAACACTGTAATGCTAAAAGTATTTTAGAAAGATGGAGCAGGTGCCTTTATGTAAAAATCCAAATTTTCAAAAAAAAAATCTACCACCAATTCTCCATAAACGTAAATCACCCCATATATAAGTCAGATAAGTCATTTTTTGTCATGCATTTGAGAACAAATTTTTATTTTACCAATGTAAAAATAAACGGTATTATTATTTACAATTAATTAATTTGGCAAAACTGTGTGAACTGAAATGTTTTATTCTTTTAACAAAAATTAAGAAGGGAGTAGTATAATGCTGATGCATGCTGAATACATGGCTAGCATTATACTCCAATGCTAGCCATGTATTCAAGCAGTAGAACCTACATCGACATCATGAACCACATCATGAACCCTCATTGACGTTTTATTTGACACATTTAAATTTGATTTGAAATTTTGCAGATTTGTGGCGCTTTTCTGAGTTCATTTTATGTTATTAATTATTTATTCTACCAATAGTTTTGTTTAGGGGTAATAAGTCTAGAAAGACACTGTGTCAGAAATTGAATTAATAATGACATTATTGTGAATTCTATAAAAAAAAACTGAAATTGACTGAAAGAAAAACCTGACAATCAGAAAATGCACTTCCAGTCACATTCGCCCCATGGTACAAAGGAAAACAAGGTATGATCTGGTATGATCGATAGCGGCTCCAATTTCGTTCAGTTCGCGCATACCACCTGTGACGTCACTAGGAAAATAAGTATCTAAATAAATAAATAAGAAAGTTGACAGGAGATCTGCATTTTTGGGGTTATGGTTAAGAATTGTTTATTTTTTAAGACTTTTTAGTTCGTTTAATTTAATAATTACTAAAATCAGCAGTTCCAAAATATTTTTAAAAATAATAATTATCTATTAACATGGATTTGGACGATAATAGGTAAGAATACTAAATTTATTTCTATATTCGGTATAAAATTGTTTATTAGATTTTTAGTTTGCGATGTTTATGGTAAATAATTTTAATGTTCATTGCCTTTGAATTCACATGAGGACAGAGATGAGGATAACTATGGAAAAATAACCACAAGAGGAACTGTTACATCATTTAAAAAATGTTGGGAAGTTGATTATTTCCCATCGAAAACTAGAAATTGCCAATGCAGATGAATGTATTGTAATTGTGATAGAAGTAATTCCAAGGGTGAAGTTTATTATAATTAGTGACCTGTGCTTCTTTTTATATGTAGATGTTTCAGGTATTGAAACCCAAAATTTAGAGGAAGTATTTGCATACCCAGAATATGCCCATCAAGGATTATAGCTCAAATTTCCTTTATTGGTAGGCATTTATTCAATGCAAATTAACTTTTAAGTAACTAAAATATTAAATAGTACAATATTGTATATCACTAAAATATATTACTTTTAGGTACAATTATGACGCCCGATACATTTCAAAAAGTAGAATATTATTTTATATTAAATGAGGTATTGTACCAATAATCAATTTATATATTAATACCGGAGATCCTAACAGAATAAATAGTTCTTTTTTTATACTAAAAAATAAACTATAGAATACAATTTATTTAGAAAATATAATAGCTCTAAAGTTATGTCTACGCCCGAGATTCTTTTACTCAGGTCTCGTGTATAGATTCCTAGCCTGACTCTTTTAGCATTGCTCCAAAGTAACTTGCTTGGCGATAAGTCAATGACGGTACATAAACAGGTTTATAACAATATCTTGACGATTTGAACTGGCGCGCGGATCATGCTGACCAATAGCGCTTGTTATCACCTGTGACGTAGCGACCAACCTGCGCAATATCATACCTTGTATTCTTTGTACCATGCATTCGCCCTGTATTTCAGGAACTAAGAGGGGGCTAGGACAAATCTGTGTGTAGCATCTTTAGTTTCGTAAAAAGTAGTATAGTGATGTGAAAACCGTATCTTTATCTTTATCATAAACGAGAAATTCCATAAAACACACCAAAATGGGTACACAGGGTATAAGTGGATACGGAACAATGTACACCCATCAAATATGAAATTTACTTAGATTTAACTAATTATATATATTTTTCATTCCGTTTTCACTATTTAAGTCAAAAAAAATTTTTTTAAATATCATTTTGATTGTTGATAAAATTAAAGAACACAAAAATATTTAAAACTAATAATAAATAAACGAAATATACTAATAAAAAGTAATATTATTCTGTTAAAATAAAATAAAAATATACGTTACCTCGTCCTTTCCTTTCATGACGCACATCTTTGCATCGTGTTCGTTAGAAAACCAGATCAGCCTCTGTTGTTCATTGAGGTTGGAAAATGTCAAATTGTAAACAACATTCCTGAAACAAAATTATGCATGATATAAAATGAACAAACAATCTAAATAATTTATGTAAAAAATATAATAGCTCTAAAGGGCTGTCTACACATAACCTTTTACCTGACAATTATGCGTCTCGTGTATAGATTATTTGCATAAATATCTTTTTAGGATTAACAAGACTAAGCGTTGACATGTGTCGATGACAAGTTCGAGTTGGCCGATTATTTAGTTGCAGAAGTAAAAACAATATATATTCTTATGAAGCTGCGTACATATGCCATCAAATGATCAGTTCCATAAGAACACAGTGTTTTCACTTTTGCAACTAAATAATCAACTGAAAATTGCATGTCAGCGCGTCTAGGCTAAATAAAATCAACAAGGGTATATTCTTTTTTTAAGGAAATACATATATATTAAACATATTTTATTTAAATATACATCCAAATAATGATCATTGAAAAATTGTTCAAAACACTGTTATTTATAATTATAAATTCTATTAATAATAATATAGAATAACATACTATAAAAGTAACAGTTTCCTATTAATATCGAAATTATTTTTAATCGGGTTGCTACTCTACCTAATTAGATCATTTATACTTAATCATGCCGATAGAGTAAACACAAGTACATAAAGTTAAAGTTCAACAGACTAAACATTTAATGAGACTGAAAATTTCAGCGAAATATACTCCAATTAGAGAAGGTGAAGGGACGATTTAGGTAAATTGAGGTAGACATTCTTCTATTTTAGTCATTACGTCTAGCACACTTTAATTATTCCCTAGATATTCGGGTGTTTTAGAAGGAACACTTGAGAATTATTATCTAAAACGATTTAGCCTAACTCAACATTGCGGCATACTTAATTCTGCTGATTTCTATTTTGTTTCAATCAAGTTTCAATCAAGTTTCAAATAACTAGTGTTGTTGGCTGTAGCTGTCAAAAGTTAAGCTACGTTGAATTATTGAGCTATTAAAAAGTTATAACAGTTGCAGTAAAAAAAGCTATGTTTTCTAAAATAAACTATTCCATGAGAAAAATCTTGGATTGGATTTGCGGATATTCAAAGTAAACAAAACAGTACAAAATATCAAGAAATTTAATATTGGATGCAGGACATACAATAAAGCCATTCGACGACATATGTGACTATATTTTGCTTTCGTAGAACTAATATTGGGACAGTAATGGCATTTGCATGTAAAGGTGCATATTACACACAGTGCTGCAAAGAATATTGTTGTATCTTGAAATTTATTGGAACCATATAATCAATAATTATATTATTACAAGTTTAACCATTTTTTCTCTTATAAATATGATTTTGTATCAGTTCAGAGTACTTAAAAATAGATAATAGAAATTCTCGACTCAATCAAAACTTAAACATATCGATAAAAATGATCATATACTGGGTGTTTCTCAAAAGTCACTCATCCCTATAACTTTTTTATTTTATTTTTGGTAAAAAAACAGATTTGTTATGTTAGTATATGAGATAAATTAGGATTGATTGGTTTTATTCAAATTTTTTCTGGGTCACTTCCTGTTTCAACAGAAATGACTACAAGTTTTGATTTTTAAATGGCACCTTTGGTAGTTTTTTACTTTATTCGATAGAAAATGATACTCTAAATAGAATGACATATCATATGTCAACTTTTCGCATTTTCGCTTAAAAACATATTTTAAATTTCAATCTAGAGTGTCATGGCTGTGTTAAAACACTAATTTTTAATCAAGGAGTCTTGAAAAAATAGATTTTATCGTCTAATATTTTTCGTGTATTGTCCTGGCCAGTTAAAATATGCCCAAATCGTATTTTTAGTTATATCAATAGTTTCAAACGGATCGAATGTGGCTCATTAGTATATTTGGAAAAATAATTTTCTTTACGAATAATTTGGTACCACACACTTGGCATTTTGAGTCAAATTGTCATTACGAACCGCATGTTACAATTTCAAATAAACCATATCCGAAAATGTCAAAAGTTGACATATGATATGTCATTCTATTCAGAGTGTCATTTTCTATCAAATAAATTAAAAAAAAGACCGAGGATGTCATTCAAAAAGCAAAAGTTGTAGTCATTTCCGGTTAAATAGGAAGTGACCGAAAACAATTGAATAAGTCAATCAATCCTGACTTATGTCACATACTAACGTACCAAATCTTGTTTTCTTATTTAAAAAAAATACCTATATATAGGGGTGAGCCACTTTTGAGAAATACCCGGTTTAATATAACTACAACTCTTAATGGTTTATAAAAATTATTTAATTTTTGTATTATTTTCAAACATTTTTTTCAATTGACAATAATCGAGCCGTTTACTGCACAATTCGATTAACTCTGAAAAATCTTAAATTTAGTGCAAAACCACTTTAAAAACTACCAATAATTTTTTTTATATTTATAACATTTTTCCAAACACCACAGGTTAACATTTCTCTAATTTACACTTAAATTTAAAAAAGTGAAGTTAATTGAATTGTTTAATGAATGGTTTAATTGACAATAAACTGTGTGACAAATATTTGTAACAAATGGTTGTGATACTGTTTAATATAAAGTCGGCATCATGTTTCTCATTATCATAAAAACTTACTGGCAAATTTGATAACAGCGTTAGTTTGGACTTTAAATAGAATAAAAAATAACATAAAAAATATTCCGTAGCTCTTGATTAACTGTCAATGTGACACTTATGAAAAAAAACTGACGATTAAAAGTGCGGCTTAAATTAGTAAATCTTTAATTTTAAAATTGTTAATTTATCAACTCGTTGTAGCATGCATTTTTTACAAACGTTTATAATTTAGAAAGTACTTCAAAAAGTGTCTATGCTAGTCAGATTTACGTTGGGAGAATTTAATTAATTTTGTAATGGAGACATGTAATTTTTTTTTACTTAAAAAGGTTATAATTGTGTGTTTTGATTGAATTGCCATCAATCATTATGTTATACTGGTTATACTCGATAATATATTTGTAGTACATAAGTGTCAAAAGTAATTTTATTTTGTTCGAAGGAAAAATAAAATAATAAGGGATATTTACAAATACGTCATATTTACATAATTTTTGTGGATACGATTACGATGTCTTTGAAAATAAATTTATAAAAAATAGAATAAAAATCGCAACGCTTACCGAAAAAAGCAAATTGCCCTGTTAAAAAGGTTTACCTTTATAGGCACACGGTCTGATTAGTTTGACTGTTGTGTTTTACTAAACCAAATTAAATATTTCAAACCCTCCAAACGCTAAAAATGCATTTTCGGTGTAAATTTCACATAGCTTATCGCGCATCGTGTTTGATGGTTAGCGTACGTATTCGGAATATAGTCTAATTAGGAAAAAAATACTAGAAATAAATAGCCAGTTGGGTTACTATTAAAAATTATAAACAAGAGACTATTTTTTTGGCCCCTTTTTCCGCTACTCGTATTTTTGTTTATTTATTATATATACCCTACCTAAGCCTTCTTAGCTCCATCTATGGTACCGTGGATGAAGCAAGCATATAAGAGACTATTTTGTTAATATATTAATATTAAAACTGTCTTTAATTCAGACCTTTTTTCCGTAACAACTGTTTAAATTGTCTTATATCTATCAAAAATAGTAGATAAAATAGTACTTTAACTACAAGGGTAGATTAACTGATACTTTAACAGCGAGGATATGTTAAAAACATTATTTCTTCTCGCACGTTTTTTAATTGCTTCCATTTTTGAAACTTTTTGTATTCCTTTTCATAAGTTATTCGGAATTTAAATGGAAGTAGTTTGGATATGGCGATTGTCGTATCAGTCTGAATATCTGTTGGTAATTTACTTATTTCGTTTTGAACCATTTCTGGCTCCAATTCAATCAGCAATCGACACAAAAGAGAATTAAAAAATATTGACTCAACAACTAAAGGGACAACTAAAGAGACAGCTTTATTTATTTGCAAAATTACATAGAAACCAACGCCAACCCAGCACAATATTTTTTCTACTTGTAATAAATTCCTTGAAATAATAATTTCTGAATATTTTTTAAAACGTAACTCGCTATGGAAAAAATATTGTTTTACACACAAAAATAAGATACCATTTATCGTCTTGTATAAAAATAACTATTGGACATTTTTTGTAATATACGTGTTATAGTATATTTATTTTGTTCGAAGAGATTGATTAAAAAATCAAATAATAAAAGATGTTTATAAATACATATTAACATAATCATCGTGGCTACGATAACCATGTCTTTGGAAGTAGATTTTTAATAAAATAAATTAAAATTGTAAAGATTAAAGAAAAAAGTACATCTCCCTGTTTAAAGGTTTACCTTTAAAAGCATACGGTCAGACCAGCCCGACTGCATTTTCTTGTTTTGTTTTAACTAAAGGAAATTGAATATTCCCAAGTCTCCAAACGCAGTAAATGCATTTTAGGTGTAATTTTCACATAGCTTATTGCACCTCGCCTTTGTTAGTTCGTGTACGTGTTTGGAATATTGTATAATTAGGAAAAATATACCAGAAATAAATGGACAACCCGATTAATATTAGAAATTATAAACTGGAGAATATTCATTCCGATCTTTTAGACATTTGTATTATATACGTACAAAATTATTTTTATTTTGTTTAAAAGAGTGGATTTAATAGTAAAATAATAACAGACAATTATAAATATATGGTACCATAATTTTCGTAGCTACGATAAACATCTCTTTAAATATAAATACATAATATAATAAACTAAAGATAAAATTGTAAATAATAGCAAAGAAAGTAGATCACGCTGTTAAAAGGTTTTAAAGACACTCGGTTGATCCATTCTCTTGTTTTGTTTTTACTAAACTAAATTTAATATTTCAAAGTCTACAAACGCTCTAAATGCATTATCGGTGTAATTTTCACATACGGTATCGCGCCTCATTGTTAGTTTACGTACGTGTTTAGAGTTTAGTCTAATGAGGAAAAAAATACTACAAATAAATAGGTT